TCTTAAGTATCTACCCATGCAGTGTCCTTTGCCTTCTGGAGATGAGTTTTACTGTGAACATAAAGGCAAAACACTTCCCTTTCCTTTGGGAGGTTTCTATTCAGTTTATGAAATATACCTTGTGTTACCTGTCATTCTTCCTCATTGAGAGGTTTTTCTTTTTCGATTCAAATCTTGATTAACTTTGATGGTATCCAAATTTTTCCTTCTCCTGTGGAAACAAAGGCGAACCCCTTCCCCAACGTAACACATGCCGGGGTTTCCATGCAGAGGTCAGTACATCTTTGAAGTATACTGGCTGATTCAGTTTAGCAGTTTTGTTTTGTTTTGTTTTGTTTTGTTTTCCATAGTCCAGTGTCTTTCTGAAGCTGTTTGTCCTTTCTCATTACCATTAAGAAAGTTTAGTGTTAATAACATATTATGTAAACTATGTTTGGGGGGTTTTGTTACCTCAGCCTGTTTGTGGAGCATTTCTTTCAGTGTTCTATTGGGTCTCTCTACCACTGCTTGTCCTGTAGGATTGTGTGGTATACCAGTTACATGATTTATGTTATAATATTTGAAAAACTGTTCCAATTTAGTAGAGACATATGCTGGAGCATTGTCAGATGTGTAGTAACAGAAACGGCCTTTTCAGAGCTAAGAGCAGTAGCCCATTGGAACCCTGAAAATGTGCCTATAGTATGATGCACATATTTCAAATTTCCAAATTCTGCAAAGTGAAAGACATCCATCTGCCAAACCTCATTTCTCTGAATGTCCTTAGGATTACAGCCTGTTGGCAATGGAGCTTGATTAAAAAAGGAACAGGTAGGACAATTTCTCACTATCTCCTTGGCTTGTTGCCAAATGATGGAGACGTCCTTTTTCAAAGCTTTGCTATTTATGATGTTTCTTATGAAATTCTGAGGCTTCTAGCACACTTCCTATTAATAAACGATCAATCTCATCATTGCCTTGTGCTAGTGGGTTTGGCAGACCCGTATGGGATCTGTGTAATATATATAGGATTAATTCTGTTTCTGATCATTTCCTGTAATTGTATAAACAGTGAAGTTAATTCTGTATTGTTGGTAAAGAATTGTGCAGTCTCAAATGTGTAAGATGACTCTCTCTCTGCATATTGAGACTCAGTAACTATATTAAGAGGCTCTATAAAATCCATAAGTAGCATCAGAATTGCATATAATTCTGCCTTCTGTACAGATGTATATGAACTTTGAACCACTTTGCTTACCTCTCCTGATTTATAACCTGCCTTACCTGATTTGTTGGCATCAGTGTAGAAGGTAAGAACTCCAGAAATAGGAGTTTGTCTTACAATACGTGGAAGGATCCAGACTTTCTTTTTTATGAATTTAATTCTGTCAGTTTTGGAATAGTTGTTGTTAATTGTTCCCAAAAAGTCAGTAAGTGCTATCTGCCAGTATTCATTATCTTTCCATAAGGAGGAAATGTCCTCATTAGTTAAAGGTACTATAATTTCTGCTGGATCTTTTCCAGTCAGTTGACAAAGTCTTAATTTGTCCTTTAGAATCAAATCAGAAATCTTTTCTATATATGTCTTTAATTTTTTATTCTGTTTATGTGGCAGAAATATCCACTCCACTATAATGTCTTCTCTCTGCATCAGAATCCCAGAAGGGTATTCTCTGGGTGGTAATGTGACCAGAATACAGTCTAGATTAGGGTCTCCTTGATCTACATGTGCATCCAGTGTTCTGCTTTCCACCCATTGCAATTCTTTTTCCACTTCATGGGATAATATTCGTGGACTGTTTAAGTCCTTGTCACCTTTAAGTGCCATTTTTAAAAGCTTTAAGTCATGTCCTTCCACACCAATAATTGTCTGCAGTTGAAAAATTTCCCCTAGCAGCTTCTGAAGACTATTAAGAGTTTGATAACGATCCCTTCTCATTTGTACCTTTTGAGGTCTGAATCTTTGCAAAACACCTATACACATAAAATAAAAGTAAGTAAATCTTAGCCGAGCGTTGGTGGCACACACCTTTAATCCAAGGGCTCCGGGGAGGCAGAGGCAGGCAGATCTCTGTGAGTTGGAGGCCAACCTGGTCTACAGAGCCAGTTCCAGATCAACCTCCAAAGCAATACAAAGAAACCCTATCTCAAAAAAACAAAACAAAAAATTAATGAGCACAGGTTATTTCTAATTTATTCTGTCATAGTCCATTCAGGCTACTAGAGTAAAATGCTATAAGTTTTGCAGTTTACCAACAAATTTGCTTCTCACATTCCAAAGGCTAGGGAGTCCAGAGTTAAGGTGCTGGAGAATTCAGTAGTTAGTGAATATCTGCATATAGTTTCATGCACAAAGTCATCTAACCTCACATGGGAATAAGAGTGGGAGCTCTATCCTCATCCTGCATTGCCTCCTAATGCTCTTGGACATGAAGATCTCAATGTAGGCATCTGGGGAGGGCAGGTAGACTCAAACCAGATAATCTGCTACTTCAGGCTTCCTAGGTCCTATTGGATTGCCATTACCCACCAACTTAAGAGGTTTGGGACAAAACCTTCTACAAACAGAATCAAATCTATTGATGAACTTAACAGAAGTCCCATCTTTGCCTTCAGTTAAGAAATAACTAAATGCAATTTTCAAGGAGAAAACAGTGAATTTAGGCGAGGACCATAGGGAAATTGTACTTAGGAAGGGCTTAGAGCTTCATTTTCTGTGTAGGATACTAACTTTGGTGTCTACTTCTTATTTCCTCTTCTTGAGTTCCTACTGGAAGATTTTCTCTTTAGATTCTAAATTAGCTCAACACTTGCATACATTTCCACAAATGGAGAGGATCCTGCCACCTCTTTGACAGGCATCAAGTATAAAGGCAGGTGTGTGAGTCACAGAGCAAGACAGACGCACTGCAGAGGCTTTGTCCACATCTGGGACCTGATGGTTGCATTTTATTCTTATTTATTCCTTCCAAGGGTGAAATGAAATGGACTGAGAATTGAGAAAGCATGCAAAGAAAATTAGAAAGGGCAGAGAAGGGGGAAGGAAAGAGAAAAGAGGTAAAGAGACACCGAGAGGACAGAAGAGAAGAGGGAGACGGGAAAAGTCCTGCCTGCCCCAGGGGAACAGCAGGAAAAGAGGCTAAGTGGGCGGGGCAGCGGGGAGCTGTCTTTTAAAGGGTCCTTTGCGTGCAGACTAGTACTCATGGAACCCTGGGCTGACCGAGGATACTGCCTGAGTGCATTCTGCCAGGTGACAGGGGCAGGCCAGAATAATGCCTGAATCCTTACAAGTCTTTCTTCAGCTTAGATAATTAGCAGATATTCTTGTTTGGTAGGAATTTTCATTGTTTGGCTCATTTGTAGATAGACTGAAAGTGTATTTTCAAAGTCCAGGGAAGAATGTAATGAAAAGTAAATCTTTCTCTGACCCTTGTCTTCTTGCCAGCCACTGAACTCCCATGAGAGCACTAGTAAGATATTCACTGAATCCTCACAGAGCACTGAGTGATTGAATACTTTGTTGGTTTTTTACATAACGTATCTTAGGAATCACACTATGAGAATCATTCCAGAAGGGTCCATAATGGGTATCATCTTTTCTGCTTTTTTGAATGACTACATCATAATTTATTTGCCTAGGTAAGCAGTTAGTTGTCAATCCAAATAGCAGTGTATTAACTATTCATGTGTATGTCTATAAATATTATTTTGTACTCTTGAAATGTATCATTAGGAAAATTCCTAAATGTAAAATTGCTGAGTTAGAGAGGCTGTGTTTTTCATTTTGGTGAGATCGTCTCAAACTGTTAGCCATGGAGGTTCTACATAAAGAATTATATTCCGTGTGAGTCAACATGATGTCAGACTTGTGAGAATTATCAGAAAAATTGCAGTAATCATAGGCTGAAGAAAACAAACGACACCAATTGGGTGACTGTGCATGGGTTCTAGCATGTAGACTGAGGAGTTCTTTCTCTTAATTCTGTACAGTAGATGAGCTGACATCTAGTGCCTACTGTGCATTCTGCATCCCATTTTTGATCCTTAAATGATAATCTGGCCCCAGTATAGCATTATAGCCTGTCACTATAATTCTAAGTGCCCTATATATTTCAATTCATTTATTTTCACAGCCAGCCTGTGAAGTACTTAGAATTATTACCCTAATGTACAGATGGGGGAAAAAAAGATATCTGAGGCCCAGAGATATTGACAGAACTGGTAACAGATGGGTTCCAATCTGCACCCAAGGTAGCTGGGCCCAAGGCTGAACTTGCAGACATGACTAGGACAGTTCTCTGCCTTTTAATGCACTGACAATTCAGAGAGAATTTTAATTGTTTGAAGTTGTATCACACACATACATATATACACATATATACATGTACATATAGTTTCCTGAGTTTGTATTCACACTCTCATTGCACTAAATCCTTGTTGTCTTTTTGTGATTTCAAACATGCCTTTCATACATGAGGTAAAATATGAAGCTTTTATTTTACTTTATACCAGGACACCTAAAATATTAAGAATCAAATTAAATGGACTTCTATGACAGTCCCCAATATGACAAATATATGACCATTTTACATTTTCTCATTTTAAATTCATGACTCAAGTCATTTCAAAAATAAGCCCAAGAATCTCCCAAGAAACATTTATAATAATAAATGTTTAAACTTTTTTTTGAAAAGAGCTTCCTGTGGGTCTTTCAACGAGCCCCCATGACACTTTTTGCTGGCACACAAGTGGCTGTGCACTCCTACCTGACATGCAGGCTTGGGTGAAATATTGGAAGGCATAAAAACTGCATTTGGTGGGTCTGCTTGGACGGGGTCATGGAAAAGTCATCTTTGATTTGCTAATGGAACTTTCTTTTTAGATGTAGTGTATGGCGGCAGTGGTGTGCATCCTAAGGGGAAAATGGCCCATTTTATAAAGGTTTATTTTCATATTTTATACACTGTAGTTCTGTTGTGTGTTTTTGATTTAGTAACAATTTATGTGTTTTTCTGTCCCAGAGCACTGCGGCCTGTGGTGTTGAGGCTCACAGCGATGCCATCCAGCCCTGCCACATCAGAGAAGCCATTCGACGCTACGGCCACAAGATTGGCCCTCTTTCCCCATTCACAGTACGTAATAACAGAGTTATAAAAAGTTATATTTATAATCTGAAAGAATCTTGATTTTCAAGTGGTCAAATGAAGAAGCGATGGAATTGTTGAAAGCAATTTGTGGTGGCTGTAATTTTGTTGTATAAAAGTAGCATAATTCTCTTGGGAAATAAAAGTTAGTCATTTTTGTCTCTTTTTGGAAGGGCAAATTTTTTTCTACAAAATATTATTTTCTTTCAATTACATATTAAGCTTTTTGCTGGAGCTTATAGTTTCTATTTTTTCAAAGCTTAAGTTTACAAAACTTTTTGTCAAATTATATGTATCCAAATGTTGCTCGAAGCGTTTTGTATTTAGAGTTGGTTGGACTGGCACGGCCACTTCTATCAGATGTCCTTCTCCTAAACATACTTTGAGTTGGAAGAAGAAGAAATGATTTCTGTTCTGGCTTTGAACAGGGCTCAACTGCAGACAGACTTTCACATCTTTAAATAATTTGAAAGCTTATAATCAGGGCTTGTTTTTAAATGGAGAATTCAAGACTTGATATTTCAGCAGCCTTAAGAGTAAGTGTGTTTGTGTGCGAGCTCTACTTGAACATTCATCTTACAGCCCTTGCCTATATCTTTTATTTATGTTAATGGATGTTTCTCCAACTCCCTCTGCTTCCAACAAATAGGGTTTGACCTTCAGAAAGGAGGCTCAATTTGTATAAACAAGGAACAGTAAAACTCATTTTTGTACATTATTTTTGTAGAAACTTTCATATTGACTGTGCCATACAGAATATGCAAGGCAATAACTGATTAATAACCAAATGAATAAATAATAAGTAAGACACAGCATACACTTCTACCTGAATACAACTTACTAGCTTTTAGTCTTGGGATGTTTTCTTCTAAATTATATCATGTCCTTTTTTTCCCCTTGTGCCTAAAGATTTTAATTCTATATTACCAATAGTAACTCAGAATTACATGAACTCTCAATGTGGCAGCAAGATACATTTAGAAATGTCTCTTGAAGTCTTTTTGTAACATTGGCTAGCAGTTTGATATTTAAACCCTGTCTTGTATTTGCTTATTGATTGATTGATTGATTGAATGAATGATCGATGTAGAGGATTAGACTGGGGCCTCACATGCATGCTAAGCCTCACATTCAACCAGTGAACCAGAACATGATTTGAATACTGCTGACTAGAGTCACACTACCAATCTCAGGTCACATAGTGAAAAAGAAAAAAAAAAATCGAGTATCTTTTTTAAACAGGGATAGTTTAAGCAATGAGCCAAAAGGAAGACAAACCTCCAAGATGTGGAGTTACTGGAAGTAACAATTTAAAAATGAAATCAGATAGAAAGAACTACCCTTTACTAAGAGATTGAAAATATAAAAGTATCAAATGCATAGTTTACAGCTAAATAATGCCTGATGAGGTGGAGAGAAAAGATGATAGTCATATGCCAAAGGTCCAGAGGCACTTTACAGGCAGCAAGAGGAAACAGGATTTGTGAGACGCATCCTAAAATAGTACCTGAAAGTCATGAACAAAACTTAAAAAAGAAAAACCTACCTAATGCAAAAGGGAACTCCTGACTCTTGCAGGCCATCAAAGGCAGTAGGACCACTTCATTCATGGAGCTCTCTGGTGTCAGTACACAAGGTAGTCACTGGAGGATCCTCTCAGTTGATGACACAATCACGTGTGTGAGTTGGTGGCCTTAGGTAGCACTACTGAGAGCTCTCGGAAGCCCTGGCAAAGAGAACCAGCTCTTATTCTTACTGTCTGACCTTACCCGGGTCACTTCATTTCCTCTAAATCTCAGAGTTGTAATCTATAAGATGGAGTGGCACTGATGTTTGTGTTCTGAGGGTTGAATCTGACAGGGTTCTCTCAGATCCAGGTGGAATGTCTTCCTCCCTTTAGCTATTCTATTCTTTTATTACTGAACTTTTTACATTCTCTCCCAGAGTAATCCAAAATTGAACAAAGTAGTAATGATAGTAAATTTCTCATTCAACTGTATTTGACCTAGTAAATTATAAAACTGAAATTTTAATTTTCTCTCACCCCATTCTGAATGAAAAGCAATGATATTAAAAATAATATATCTATTTGGAGAACATTTTATTTTAAGCTAGTTTTATATGATAAATGTACCACATGTTAATTGTTTTTTGAGAATCAGGAGGGAATATATATATATGTAATACATATATATTACATATATGTATTATCCCTTTTTCAGTTAATAATGATTTAGAACTCCCAGAAATTTATTGAGGAAAAATTGACTTTCCATAAAAATTCAAATATCTAAGTTTCTACCCAATTTCTCCTTAGTACTTCTCCTTATTTTACATTTATAAAATATTTGGATATTTAGAGGTAATAGAACATTAAATTAAGACAAATCGAATATCCTCAGATATTGTTATTATTCATTTGTGTAAAATTCTAAGTCAAAATAGTCAAAGTAGGGCTAGGGAGATGGCTCAGTTAATAAAGTACACACCATGTAAGCAAAAAGACCTGAATCCAATCTCCAGCACCCACATGAAAAATCTGAGTATAGTGGCAGACACCCATAATCCAGTGCTAGGGAGATACAGACAGGAGATGGAGCTTGACAGCCACGTGTGCGTGTGCGTGTGCGTGTGCGTGTGCGTGCGTGTGTGTCTGCATGCTTCGGGATGACAGGGTTGAGTATGCTTGCAGCTGTCACAGATTTGGCTAGCTACTTCATGCACTTGCAGGGTGTCTTCGGGTGTCTTCTGGTATACTGAAAAGCCTCTCTTAGGCCCACATTCTGAGGCTCTAACTAGCTTTAAGAAGCCTTGATTCTGCCTCAGCATTTAAGACAGCTAGAAGGACTTACTTCTATGGATGCACTTGGTTATTTAGGTTAATAACCATGCTTATGTGTGGAATTTTATCCTCTCCTACTCTAGCTCCATAGAAAGTTACCTGATCCTATGCAAGCTCGGGGAGTTAATGTATTTTTCTACTTGAATATCAGGAGAAGCTAAAACAGATGTAGGCATTACACATGGGATTATGTCATCATACTCAGTGGACAGTTTCTCTGGCTTTCTAAAATTGCAGGGCTGGTTTTATATGAACCATTTTCAGTCTCCCCACTGTGAGTTGTGCTTGAGCTTGAAGCTAGGTGACCATGGGCCATATGGAGGTAAATCACCTCAGCCCCTGCATGGACATCTAGGACTCAGTCTATGGCTTTCTAGAGGCTAACCCCCTATGACTGACCACCTGAGTGCTGCAGCTTCAAAGCTATATGTGAGAGTGTCACTACTGCAGCAGGTAAAATACCATAGTAGGTAGTCACAGTGGACCTTAGAGAGCTAAGGAACTACATCTCCTATATCCAGAGCTTTCCACCTCGGACTACTCTCTTCAGCAGTTAGAAGTGTGTATGGTAGGATGGCCACAGTGTTGGTATCCATAGCCTACAAACTGGGCTCCATTTGAGGAGATAGTTTTTTTTCATTTTAAAAGGAAGATTTGTATATTATAGTTCTACCATGAAACTGTACCTGATCACATGACTTATGGAGTAGGCTTGTCCAACCTTGACTATTGGGTCATTCCTTAGAGTAGTAGTAGAGCAGACTTTTCAGATGAGTCTTTTCTGGGGTTCCCCTTGGGGTGGGCTTGGGGGAGGTCTTTGCCTTCTGTGAATTTCCGTCTCTGCTCTGATAGGGGCTGTGAGTGAAGGTTACTGTTCTGTCATCTTCACTATTATGTAGATAACTTCATCATTCATCCTTTTCTGCTCTGAGAAGCATAACAGCATGGTTCTGTGTTGCCAAATGGAGCTAAGGTTCTGTAAATCTGTTCCCTGAGTATCTTCAGCAAGACGTCGGGAGGAAGAGCGAGATCTTACTCCATGTGGTCTCTGCAGCAGTGGAATTTGTTAAGAAGAATTGTTCCAAGCCCACTTTGAAGCCTCCTAGTATTATCAGAAGCTGGTATTTTTCTCTAACATCCACAGTGATGGCTTTTTCTGGACCTTTATTTTGTGGTAACAGTCAGCATCTCCAATTAATTTAATCAATTGCCCAATGTGAGTATCTGGGCTGCTTTGAAGGGTGTGTGTGTGTGTGTGTGTGTGTGTGTGTGTGTGTGTGTGTGTGTGTGTGTGTGTGTATGAAAGAGAGAGAGAGAGGAGGGGTGTTCCTTAGCAATTTAGGGCAGAACGAAAGTGATGGGCATTCAAACTCAATGTAGGAAACACTTCACAGAATGCTAAAATTATCAAAATATAACTTGAAAAAAGGAAACTTATTTTTTTCCATTCTTGTGTTACATGCTTTACTCAACAAATATGAATCAGTAAACCATTATTTAACTTACTGATAAAGTTAGTTGCACTGTTAATTTTATAACATAAGTGAACTGTTGTAAAAGGGAATTTACAATTTCCAAAAAAAAAAAACTGATACTTACTCTTATTGTGCCCAACATATATTTAAGTTCATATGCAAGGTAAGAAAAATGTGCAGGAAAAAAAAATCATGCCTCGTTTTCCTGGCTGGTGTTGTAATTACAATTTGATTTAAACCAAATCCCTAGGCTGTGTATGTACGAATTGAACATTCCACCCCCACATGCTCCCTCTTCATGACCTCAAGCTGTGAGAAGAGAAAGTTCAGAGCCCATATGTCAGTCAGATGTGAAGTCTCTCCCTGGCACCTGGGCAGGCTTTCCTACTGCTTGGAGTCACTTGCTGTTCTGGGCATGAGCCCAGTCTGTGGAGTAGGCTCCAGATCTGGAAAGATTTTCACTGATTAGTTGGCAGAGGTCATGAGGGAGCCGGGTGTCAGACTCTGAATTTGCCCAGGTGCATTCAGGGTGATAGTTGGGCCGCGCCACCTGGTGAAGTTCTAGGCAGGGAGGTTTTGAGTCCCTTTTTGGCTTCCAGGGTTCACAGCCTCACCTACAGGTTGCCGTCAATTCCAATTTAAACACTTGTGCAGACTTCAGGGTTTCCAGT